CATCTAGGTGGTGGATGCTCTTAAAGAGGGACATGTCTAAAACTCAGACAAGAAAAAACGTGGGGTAAGACGGACCACCCAGCAGTGCCTGCTATCCGATCATGTGTGTTACACTTCTGCTCTGTACTCTTGTAAGAAAAAGTAACCAGAATGGTAAAATAACAAAATGAGCCTTTATTCTTTACTCATGTGTGATGGAAGTGCAGCTAAAAGCTGGGAACATGTGTGTTGATTGTCGTTTGGCATGAATGCATGCTAACTGAGCACTTGCATGCATGGCTCACATGCAACAAAGACTCCTTCCTGAAAAATTAGCTTACTTAAACTTGTGTCAATGTTTTGGAAAAGAACTTTCCATATGCAGGGTACAATGGACCACCACAGGGTAAGATGGACCACAGTGGTCCGTCTTGCCCCAAATCTAAATTCTGTCATTATCATGACGTATATGTCAAATAGACCAGCATTGCAAAACCTTGCCTTTCCTAAAGTGTGACTATAACTAAGTTTATAACTTTGTTCTTCACAGTTAAGTGCAAAATAGAAACTAATCATGCAAGAAAGGCGCCGTAATTGAATCACCCGTAGACCTCTTATATTAGATCGGTTTGACGAAAAACAACATTTTTCTCAATAACTCAAAAGCTATGCATCCTAGCAGCATGAGCTCAAGGTGGCCATTGTTACGAAGGAAAACAAACACAGTGAGTGCATAAAGCAGTAGATACCAGCAGCGGTTCAGCCGGGAGGGCTGGTGGTCCGTCTTGCCCCGCTGGGCCGTCTTACCCCACCTTCCCCTATGTAAAGTTTCAGAAATTAATCCCCATTTGCATATGAAGCTGAGGTGATTCTGATTGTTAACAGCGTGACGGGATGCTCATGAAATTGGTATAGTTTCGTAGTGCTTACCCAGCAATGATGCCAGTGGAATGACGCCGACTTCGGTGTCGGTATTTCTCACTCGATAAGTCAGTGAAATGAAATTTTAGACCTTATTCTTTTGCTTATATTTTATAACAGTTAAAAGCACTCACATCGGTATGAGCTCACCTTTTTCATCTTCAACGCATTTACTTCGGCATAAACTCTAGCATGATATCGGAGTGCACGTTTCCCAGCCACCCGTTTGCACTGATCGGGCAGCCACCGAGCACCTCTGACGCCCTGACCCGACCGTCTCCCTGTCCCTCCCCTCCCCACTCCTCCCGTCCCCACTACCGGCTAATCACGGCCGGAGTGAGAGGTGGCGACGAGCCATTCGCTGGCGGCGTGACAGCGTCCCAATCAGCGGCATCAGCGCACGGACGGCGGCCCCAATCAGGTCTCCGGTCACTGCCCCAGAGTCCGGTCATCCCTTCCCGAGTCCAGTCAACCCACCCTGTGTCCAGTTACTCCGTCTAGAGTCCAGTCATATTGTCCGAGGTCCAGTCATACCGCCCCAAGATCCAGTTACTCCGTCTAGAATCCAGTTATATCGTCCGCAATCCGGTAATATCGTCCGAGGTCCAATCGAACCGCCCCGAGTCCAGTCAACCCGCCCTGTGTCCAGTCACACTGCCCCGAGTCCAGTCACACTGCCTTGAGTCCCTGTCCAGTCATATCGTCCGAGGTCCAGTTACTTCCGAGGTCCAATCGTACCGCCCCGAGTCCAGTTACTCCGTCTAGAGTCCAGTCATCTCTCCCGCCTTGGCTCATAGCTCCCGCAGTAGCCCCATACTTTGCCTGAAGTTCACCGATTTTCCATTTTAAGTTACCTATATAATACGTTTTTTAGCTTATCATATTCGTCGAGTTATTATCCTCTTGCTACTCCGTTTTCAGTGAAGTCTTTAACTATGTAGTTCTCTCATAATCGCAAACATACATACAAAAATGTTCATCTTATCAGTGCAGTACTTCTACAATCTACAGTCCTATATGATCAGTGGAGATCGCTCCCTCCCTCCCTGACACACCCACACACCCACACACACACACTCACACATGCCTAATGGTCTTGCAGCAGCCAGCCGAATTCATGTGATGCCTCATTCACTTCGAAATATTGCAGCTACCTCAAGCACCCTGTGCCCTCTCGTTAACCCCCTCCCTCTGTGAATCCCGCTAGCATGTCATCGCCACAATGTTTTCCGCGGGCGGGGTTTTCGAATTTAATATCCCCGTCACACGCCTTTTCCCAGATGGGCGCACTCTGACGTTATTTATCTTCCCGATCGCGGCCTGAGAGGACATTATCATTTATCTTCCGTTTTTCCTAGAATCTACTCAGTCACTTGCGTACTCGCAGTTGTGGTATCGACGGCGACAAGCTTAGAGCATTACGAAGCCACAAGAAATATACAGCAAGTTAGAACTGATTAGACGCACACTAAATAAGATAAATCATTGATAAAACAGAAGTTATAACGACCGCCAAAAGCTGATTCCTGAGTCTCAATTTCTTTCCTGGCTAGAAGTGAGGGTGACCGTTTCTAAGAGGGAACTGCTTGAAACGGCCGCCCAGAAGTCAGTTTAGCCGAGCGGGTCCATTGTCATTCAGCTGCGGCCAACTGGCAATCAGGCCTTCTGAAACTGGCCTTCGAAACAGTTCGTGCCCTGTGTGACGACTGTCGACTATGAGTCTGAGGTACAGCGATTCAGAGCCGAAGCGATTGTGTTACATAATGCAAAATGGTGCCAGGTTGTATTCTTCGTTTTAGCTTAGGTACAACTTTCAGGACAATAGCCAATAGGTTACATGATACACATAGTGCTGGTAGACCCAATTTACATATGAAGTTTGTGACATATATACGCAATTTATATATGAAGTTTGTGACATAGTTACTATCTATTCAATTGCATGGTTAACCCTCGCCCGTAAACGGCGATCTGCCACCTTCGCCCATGCAGGGGGGGGGGGTTGGTGCGACCCCCCCCTTGGCGTTTGAAAACGGAGCGTCGTAGAGCTTAGCGGAAAAGACCAACGGATTGCTCTCGCCGAGATCTCGCGATTGGTGGTATATTTTTTGGTCCTAGGTCAACATTTGACCTACTTTTGACCGGTCAAAGGTCAAATTTTCGGAAAAATAGACTTTTTCAAATTTTCCGCGGCGATTGCGGCAAAACGGTGGGAGATATCGACTTGAAACCTTCACTATCGTGTTCCTTGATCAATTCTCTATCGTTTGGTATGTATTTCGTTTCCCTAGCTCTAAAAATGGCGCGTTGGGAGCGCCGGAAGTCGGCAAGGTCACAGTCGGCGGCAGAAATTCGAAAAATCAAAATTTAAATTTTTGAAATCTGATTGTATTTTTGGATTTGGGATGTCCATTTGCTCCCTATAGAAGCTAATATTGCTGCATATTCCCATTGAGGTGACAAGAATTAGCAAAATAGTGGTTCGGGCGCTTTTCAAAAATAGTACCGGACGCTGTTCCTCTTGTGACGTCATAGCTCCGTGACCTGACCTGACCCGGTCAAGTTTCTTATACCATATGATAGCTAATACTTGCCCCAACATGCATGGGAAGTTTCATCACGATCCATCAACCGATGTCCGTACCACCGGCAGGAAACCTCGGGCGTTGGCACTCAGTTTGTGAAAATCCGGCCGGAGGCTGTTCCCTTTGTGACGTCATAACTCCGTGACCTGACATGACCCGGTCAATTTTTTTTATCAAAAGATGCGCAAGGTTTGCCCCATAAGGTACCCAAAATTTGGCGGCGCTGCGCGCCGCCGTTTTTGCACTATTCCCGAAAAACCTCAGGGGGGGGGGGGTTGCACCAACCCCCCCTACATGGGCGAGGGTTAAATGGATGTGAATGAATTCTGCATATTCATATTGCTGATAGAGTAATAAGTAACACAGGAAATAGAGGTGGGTTGAATTAACTTTGCCATGTACTGAACAAAGAGGCAATGCCAATTGTCGCACATTTGCATTTACAACATTGCAGTTGCATGATTGATCAAACATTTGCTATTCGGGGCTAAATTTAGCTAGTGCTTTGCAAGGGAACTATTTGTTAAATGTGCATGCGATATACAGTGCCATGGGCTGTGGGCAGCGCTGCATGGTAAAATAATTTATGTATTTCGGCATCCTGATAATTATCGTAATGCCCTCGTGCCGTGTAGTCTTGCTCTTTAAATCGGTTTATCAGTAACATCCTCTATCTCTGGAAAGAAAATATGGAAGCTTGAGGACACTCATTATTATGGAAGAGACATCTAAGCCATGTTTATCAGTGTCAACATAAAGCATTCTTCGTCGGCCGGTGCCGGCTAGTATATTTGGTTCGACCTTGACCGACTAGTCCACTTCCAATGATTAGAATAAGATATGCTGCGAAATCCCTTCCCTGAGAGCTTTTGATTCAAACTCACCAAATCTCCAGTCATGGTTTTTCTACACTGCAATGGTGCGGAAGAGAAGACCTTTTTAGACAGACGAAAGTTGTCGAGAATAAGCTACCACGGTTGATATAAGCCCTCGCCTATTCAGGAGCTAAGGCCTACTGTAGTCCTGATGTTGCCATGAGTCATGATGGCTGTCAGCGACCAGCTGGTGGTGAACCGGAGTTCTGGACCAGGCGATACTCTCCAAGCCCCGTAGTGTAGTGGGAGCTGGCTCAGACTCGGGTCTTACGACGGTACTTGGGTCGGTGGGTTGACTGGCCACGTCTCTCTCCTGCTGTCGAGTTGGCGCGTGCAACGGAGGAAGATCTTTCCGCTTGTGTTGCCGGTTCGGTGCAGGAAGAAACAGAAGTTCTTTTCCTTTTAAATGCGGCTGTAGTTTGGATACCATTGGGAGTTCGCTCCCTTCCTGTTGAGGAGGAGATGCATACATCCTTGGAAGTTCTTCCCCTTCTCGCTGCTCGGGTGATGTGGACATCTGTTCCACGTCCTTGTATACGGTGACGACAGGATCGCTCCACTTCAGATCACGAATAGCGTCAGCGGACAGCGGGACAACACCAGGTCTGTGGCGCCGTGTTGGCCCGATCCTGACACCCACCCGCCCTGCCACGGTCTCCAGGCGACTCTTGGGAGTGCTGATGACATTGATACTCGCCTGGCGTGAAGACCGACCTCTGGAGCGCCTTTTCCAGCAACCGAAGATGGCGATGTACTCTTTGCGGAGTTTGGGACAGAGCAGCGCCAAACACCATCCGTCGGTGACCATGCTGAGCAGGCGCAGGGCGGCAGTGACCTTGTGGACAAACGTGCGGTCTATTATCTCCAGAGACTGCAGCAGGTTCATCAGGATGTTTGGGAAGACGAAGATGCAGCACATGAGGGAGAGGATGGCGATGGCCATGTAGCCCTTGTGCTGGAGAAGGGAGTGACGGAATTTGCCGTTCACCCCGGTCTGCTGCCGGTGGATCCTCTTGCCCTGTTCGATCCCAATCACTCCGACCACGACGTTGATTGCCAGGTTTACGATATAAGCCAACAGGCAGAAGATCGCTCCGTAGAACCTGAACTCGAGCGTCACTGCCGTCCAGTACATGCACATCTCGCGCGCGGGGCCGAGCCCGTGCACCCAGCGCATCGCCAGTCCGAAGGCCAGGTAGACGGCGGCGAACAGCCAGGAGGCGGCCAGCAGCGCGCGCTGTCTGCCTTCCGTCAGGATGTCGTAGTACCTGAGGCCGTGCACCACGGTGATGTAACGCTCCAAACTGAGGCAGAGGAAGCAGACGGCGGTGCTGGCCGCCACGGCGGAGCGCAGGTGGACGGCGCTGGCGCAGAACCAGGCCGAGAGCGGCACGGCCAGTGCCTGGCCGGTGCCGAGCACCACTGACACGGCGCCGGCCACCGTCTCCCCCACGGACATGCTGGCCACCAGCTGGTACATGAGCAGCTGGCGCAGCCGGCGCCGCCGCAGCACGGCCGCGGCCGGCAGCGCCGAGTTGAGCACCACCAGCCAGCCGATCACCGCCTCCGCCGCGGCCCACATCCTGTGACAGCCTCACTGGCCGTCCACCTAATAGTATGGACCGGTGGCTCGGCTGCCGTCCACCTATATATGGACCGGTGGCTCGGCTGCCGTCCCCGGCCTGTGCCAGCTGCTCACTATCTGTGCAAGCTCTACTGTCCGCTGGCCATCAATTGCTCTCTTCTTGCCAAAATGTCTCTGCCCTGGTTGTCTGAATGAAGTATAGTGCTTGCTTCTTGTTCCGTTCGACCCCGGGAGCAATGTTGAAGTACCGTCTTCTTTCCAAACCCAAAGCGAACAGCCCTCACAGCCTCCCTTGCCCACCACGCTCCTCTCCAACCTGTCGACTGAATGTTACCTGTTCCCACAGTCTTCCTCGCTGCTGATCGGAGGAGCTTCGTTGTCACCACTGAGCTCTGCTGACCAGCCAGTCCATTAACTAGGTGCTAACTGCGTCACCATCCCGCATCTCCCGCCCACAGTTGATCGGATGTCTCCAGGACAACCGAATAACAAAATAGCCCCATTGACGTCATTGGTATTTTTTGATAATAGGGTGGTCTGCCGTAAAGATTAAATGCTGCTCCGAGTACCCACTGCGTATTATCAGTGTGTGCGTTTTCTTGTGTAGGTATTTCTTGTGTTATCTTCAACCAGCTCGGACTCGGAGTGTAATCGCCACGCCGATTGTGGATTGCTCTTGATCGTCAATACATACATACATACATGTGTGCCCATTTATGTCGAATACGGCCTAGCTTAAATCCAAATGGCCTTTGTCGGCCGTCGCCAAGTCGTCTTAAAACTCTCTTAATAGTTAGCTTAAAGGCACTGCATAGCAATCAACTCGAGTAAAATCATCAAACGTAGATGGAGTTGTTACTTGTTTTCCACTGGTGGTGCTTGGCCTTAACCCGCGCCCCACTGGGGTCTGTGTATAACACGCCCTACTGGGGGGGGGGGGCTATTCATAGCCCCCCTCCTAACTCCGAAACTACTGGGCCGATCGTCAAAATTCAAACGGCGTCTGATAGCCCCGGAAAAACTGTCGAGCGAAACCTAATTTCATTGACCTCAAGGTCACCGATGACGTCACAGGTCAGGTCAAAGTCAAAATTATTAGCACTTTGACTTGTTCACATTTTGGGCTCTGGTCGCCGTCTTACAAGTCAGATCAGGCTCATTTTTGGTTTCCACACTCGTGAACAGATGCTCTAGATACCTTGAGGGTACCAAACTTGTACTTTGATTTTCAGGTCAGGGTCAGGTCATCACAGGTCACGAAAATATTATATCATGCGTCGGTCACGTGACACATGTTTTATGGTCCATTTAGGCCATAGATTTCGAATTTGATGTCGTCTGTGTCATTCAAGGTCATTTTGAGTCGAAATTAGCTTAGGTCAGGTCACTTTCAGGTCAAAAAAGGTCATATTTTGAAGTTGAAATTTTTCAACAAAAAAGGTGTCTATTGGATGCAGTTTGAGCTCAGGAACACGATGGTGCCATTTATATTGGTGTACGATGCCAAATACGTACTGAAAAATTGATTTGAAAAATTAATAATTGTGAATTTTTTGCAATAATGCGTATAACTTGGCCATTTTTGAAGATATTTAGCTAAAACTTGCTAGAGTTAGTCATAATGATTCGTTCTGTCACATATATTCCGGTTTTTTCGAAAAGTCAAAAACTTTTTGAAAAAAATATAAAAATATAAATTTTGAATATTATTATATAAAATTTTCGAAATTTTCAAAATTTTGAAAATCCGAGATAGCAGTTTGATAGCGCGGTCAATTCTGAGTTCTTTCATGCAAAGAAATTGGATCTAGCTTAAAAACTGAGCTCTTGGGAGCGATTGCCGTGGTTCAATGTTTTGCGTCGAAATCGGACGAACATGACGTCACTCTGACGTCATTTCCGGCCGACCTATGGTAGCTACGAAGTTCAAATTTTGACACAAGGTGTCAAATTGATGCAGCCGAAGGTACTGAAAGTTTGGCGTCGATTCGTCAAGCGGTTTGGAAGTTATTGCAGAAAAACGGGAGGGGGGGGGGCTATAAATAGCCCCCCCAGTGGGGCGCGGGTTAACCCTCGCCGGACCTATTGGTTTTCTGCATACGCGCCGGCCGAGGGGGGGGGGGGGGGTACGACCCCCCTCGTCGTTTCACCCATGGTGGAGCTAGCGCGTCGCGGAAAAAACGAGCGTGTGCGCCGTTACGAGACGCAAAGATTGATACCCCATTTTAAGGTCCTAGATCAACCGGTGACTTCTAAGGTCAGGTCAAGTGCCCAGGTCGGTTCCGTTTTTGTAAATTACTTCGCAAAAAACGGCCGCAGAGCCGCGATTTTGGCAGAATCATGTTCGCCTCGCTCAGGCGCGTCGAATGATATAGGTACTTTTTGTTTGGGTGAGGTCAGCTTAGGGTGTTGACTTCAGGTCACGGTCAGGTCAGCGAACCCACGTCACGAAATTGGTCGAAGTAGGTCATGTTGCATGTCAATCGATTCGGCAGGTCTTCGTGAGTCCGTTGGTAGCTTTCCCGACTCGCTAGCTCAATTTGATCAGGAGCTATAGGCGAAAAACTAATATGACCCTATGACGTCATAAACGACGTCACGCAAGGTCAACATTGCAAAAGTGACGCATGTAACCTTGCAAGGAGTGCATCAAATCACGATTCTGTGTGCTTGAGATAGTTGGAGATCGTTACCGGCGCCAGAATAGCAGTTTTTCATTTTCTCCATTGACTTATAATGATGAGGTCACGAAAATGACCTGACCTTAGTTGACATTGAGGAAAAATCCGAGATATGCAAGCTGTGAGACTCGTAATGGATATTATATCCTGCAAGTTTCATTTCCCTGTGAAAGCTCCTCTGGCAGTGAGGGTGTTGCGAAGTTGCGACATCTGAAGACCGTGCAGAGGTTCACTTATGACGTCATAGGTCAGTGACCTGACCCGAAAATGCGGTTGGTGTCAAAAGATCTGGCGCTTGAATCAAAGGTCAGGTATGCCAAGTTTCAGCAGGTCAGGTATGCCAAGCTTCAGCTCTCTATCGCCAGCGTGTTTGGAGCTATCGCGAAAATTGGGGGGGAGGCACCCCCCTCGGTCGGCGAGGTTCAAGCGGCGCCGCTGACCGATCAAGGGAGCGCAATGCCGTCAGATGCCGAGCAAAATAATTAACAGGAACCTGGTGGTTCTAATTGCGCTGGATATCTCTCGGAAACAATGAAGCTTGCAATTTGCTTCAACAAATAAAACTAATCCTGTTTGGGGTTTTGATGAACTACACGACGATTATGGATCATGACAGACTTTTCTCTTCCACTATAAAAAACGACAATGTATTCAAATACACAATTAAAAAACAGAGCTTTCGGTAACAAATACCTTGATCACTGTGTGTATGCTAAAATGAAGGAATATTTTCAAATATTTCAAAAGGCAAATTGACTTCATTGCACGGGATACATCCCGTGCAATGAAGTCAATTTGCCTTTTGAAATATTTGAAAATATTCCTTCATTTTAGCATACACACAGTGATCAAGGTATTTGTTACCGAAAGCTCTGTTTTTTAATTGTGTATTTGAATACATTGTCGTTTTTTATATATATCTGTCATGGATAACACACAATTTTCTCTTCCACATTGTTAGGTAATATTGTGGAACTGCAAGAGTTTAAACCTGCTATAACTAACCTTGCATTTACAGGGAATGAGACGTTGGATGAACCTTACCTCGATTTTTCACAAATAGCTCTCGCGCGTAACCCTCGCCGGCCGAGGGGGAGGTGCTGCTCCCAGACGCGTTTCCCGTTTGCTCATGAACGCGCTGGACATAGAAAGCTGAAGACTGGCACCTCTGATCTTCGATTCAAGCTAGAGCTTGTGACTCCGAACCGCATTTTCAGGGCAGGAAGGTTCCTGGCAGCCTTGAAAGGTCATAAGTGAATTTCTGCACAGTTCTACAATGTAGCAACCTTGCAACGCCCTCAGTGCCTGGATATCTTTCACAGGAAGATGAAACTCAAGGGAGCTAGCAACCTCCCGAGTATTCACAACTTGTTTGAAACATGCTTTTCATCCATCAATGCCATATTAAGACCTACAACAACACAGAACTCAGCTAACCACGAATCCGGTGAAACGATGAACAGTCGGTTGTAACATGAAAGTCACATAATGTGTGAGTATGCGACTTTTCTCGCCATTTTCTGCGACTCTCGATTTTTCATATGCACGGTAGGCCGTCAGCTCTGTGTCACCGAGAACCTCTTAACCCTCGCCCGTAAACGGCGATCTGCCACCTTCGCCCATGCAGGGGGGGGGGGTTGGTGCGACCCCCCCCTTGGCGTTTGAAAACGGAGCGTCGTAGAGCTTAGCGAAAAAGACCAACGGATTGCTCTCGCCGAGATCTCGCGATTGGTGGTATATTTTTTGGTCCTAGGTCAACATTTGACCTACTTTTGACCGGTCAAAGGTCAAATTTTCGGAAAAATAGAATTTTTTCAACTTTCCGCGGCGATTGCGGCAAAACGGTGGGAGATATCGACTTGAAACCTTCACTATCGTGTTCCTTGATCAATTCTCTATCGTTTGGTATGTATTTCGTTTCCCCAGCTCTAAAAATGGCGCGTTGGGAGCGCCCGAAGTCGGCAAGGTCACAGTCGGCGGCAGAAATTCGAAAAATCAAAATTTAAATTTTTGAAATCTGATTGTATTTTTGGATTTGGGAGGTCCATTTGCTCCCTATAGAAGCTAATATTGCTGCATATTCCCATTGAGGTGACAAGAATTAGCAAAATAGTGGTACGAGCGCTTTTCAAAAATAGTACCGGACGCTGTTCCTCTTGTGACGTCATAGCTCCGTGACCTGACCTGACCCGGTCAAGTTTTTTTATACCATAT